AGGTGAAATAGAAGTACTACAAAAGAGATACATTTCCAGAGGTTGGACTCCTTTCACAGCCCTTAAATTAAACTTTTCTTTGGTTTGTAATATTGTCTGGTTTTGTGCCACTTGAGAACACAAATTAAAATGCTTGCAAGTGCAGAGCCTTACTGATCTCAGCAGAAGATGCATGTACTTGGCAACTCCATGACAGACTTTATACCAAAAGGAGGAGGTTGAACACTGGGCTAGAGAGGTCTTTTATTCAGTGGAATGAGTCTTAGGTATTGTTTGGTCCTAACTCTAGAGTGGTCTAGAGTGAATCTAGGGGGTTCAGGTACCTCAGAAATGATGGATATTTGGATTTCTTTTTTTGGACCAATCTTTTTGCGGAACAGTGGACTCCCAATAACAGCTGATTAGTTCTGCTGGTGCTATATTTTCTGACAGCCTGGGTTTGACTGTCTTCTCAAATTTGTTTTTACTGTGCAGGACTTAGTAAAAGGAATAGGCGTGACATAAAGCTATATAAGGAGAGAACAGATCCCTAATGCATTATGTAACGATGGGCTTAGATCCTCAAATTCATTTCATTTAAGACACAAGCTATAAAGGCAGAAGGAGACAGTGCCTTTCTCATTTCAGCTACCAAATCCATCCAAATAGACATGTTCATGGCCAGATTTATATTCATTTTTCATTAAGATGAATTAGCTATATATGTTGGTAACATATATTGCACGCAGTATTATTAAAACATTAACCAAGCTTTAAAGCATTGCAAGTGTTTTAATCTGCTGTAATAAAGAGAGCATGAGGTAGTTGCTTCAGATTTTTTTTAATGAAAATATTCTCAGTAACTTTCAATGAGCTTTCTGGTATCTATTGTGCTTCATAGACAAATATGCAGGGGTGCCGTTTTCCTCCTCATGTGAAGTGTTTTCTTAGGTTAATGACTCTGAGTATTTAAAATCAGAGCAATCATTTTAAGTGTTTTGTTGTACCAACAGCAGAAGCCTCATTGAGTTAAATTGGTTTCACTACATTATCTATTGGATTAGCAAATGGGTTAAGAACTGACGTGAGAGCTTTTACTTTAAATTCTATAAATGCTTTCATTTTGACCCAGAAACAGGACAGACATTTCTGTATATTAACCTTTTAATAGTGCTGTCACTGCCAGCATTACTTTCAAACAAATCATGCTGTATCTTGCTCTTCTTCATCTTGTGCTTTCTGATTCCTTTCAACCTCTTGAGGCAGCAACAGTTATTTTTTAACAGAAATACAGTAGTCTGTGTAAGTGCCCCACAGAAAGCACTCATGAATACAAAATGGTAGTTTCTCGTCTGTTGTCAAGGCCAAAGTAGAGTTTTACGAGCCCTTGGGCACTGAATAGGCAGGATTTCATTATGGGATGAAATCTCTGAGGTTATTTTGATTTTCCTTCTGATGTGTTTTATCTTCCAGTTCAATAGTTTGAATGTCTATTTGGTCCATTTATAGAAGCTCCAGTTTCTGTAGATCTACATTTTATTAACACTTCACATGTAGAATGATTACATTAACATATATCCCACTCTTTTTTCTCACAGACATGTCAGTCCATAGAGCAGTACTCTAAATTGCTGAGAGGAATACAAATGCTTTCAGGTGCAGCACAGAAAAGTGCCTTCTGATCTGTTGCATGCTCTTGGGTTTTGTTTGTTTTTTTTTTTCCTCAACCCATCCAAAGTCAGCATCCAACTGACATAAAATTTAGTTTATTTCTGTTTATTAAGGGCATAATGAAATTAGAGTTTAATAAAGCGCATTTACGTTAGACATTAATATGTCTAAAGTATTAATGTCTGATGATTTTTAAGTATGATGATTTTAAATTAAAAAAAAACCCAACAAAGTAAAGCACAACCAGAAGTATAGAAGATTCAAACTGACGCAAAACTCCAATCATTACACCATGCTCCTATACTGAAGTTTCTCCTTAAAAGAGTTTGAACGGCATCTGACTTTTCTATTTATGGCTCTGGAAACAGATTTAAGAAAATCTCACTCTTCATGATGGAGATGTTTTGTCCTGTGCTACTCATGCAAGTGCAGTAACAGCAGCTGAGACACGTGTTCTCCACGCTGAGTCACCTCCTTCCTGGAATGGACACAATTGCCATATGTTTGCTCACAGTGCACATTTCTGACTGCCTGCGGTGTTTTGAGATCTTTTTTTTCCCCCTTTATTTATGCTTCTGTCTACAACGTTGTGATAGTCTAGCATTCTGGCTTTGGGTTTTTTTGAGGAAAAGATTGCTGCCACCTTTTACTTTGATCAGGCACGACACAGTTGTGCACCTTAAAGATCTGCAGTCAAACCACAGAAGAATTCCTCGAATAAATCTTTTGAAGAAGTCAGCAGGGCATGCAGCCCGTGACTGTCTCCCAGATGGAGAAGCAACTAATTTTGTCCAATAACCCCATGTGATTACTCACTTGGCTTCAGTGTAAGGAGTTATGTCAGGTGCACAATTACAAACTGTTACTGCTGAAGTAATTAGATTAGACACTGCTTTTATAATATCTGCAGCTGTCTTCTTGCTAATTACTCTAAATAACCAGTCACTGCACACTAGAGGGACTAGGTCAATGCTTTGTTCTCTGCTTTTTAATAACTTTAATTCCAAAATCATGGATTATTTCCTTATGATTTACACTCCATGGGAACTTGCTGTGATATTTCTTCAGCTGGATTTAGTCAATAATTTCACTCTTAGCAGTAGATACTAACTGACAGGCAATGTAATAAATTAATAGCTAGAAAAACCAGCAGGATACAGAAAGGTTAGGTTCTGCTTTCACAGCAGTAGTTAATGTACTGATTTAAAAGCAAAGATTATTTCTGATTTATGCAAGTGTAACAGAGAAGAATTAGGCACTATGGCCTTTCTAAAGGGTGTAGTACTGTTGTGGTGATACCTTCCAAGTGCTGTGTAAAACTTGCCTATGAAAGTGTGTCATCCAAGAGGTACATTTACAGTTTTGTTGTTTCTGAAGCCAGAAAATAATAAGATGGGGTGTAAACTGAAAAAGCTCAGTTTCAAGCTGAAAGGAGAAGGTAGAAAGGGGAGTTAAGATATGTCCAGGACCTGACCCAGGATCATGGCAAAATCCACAACTTAGTAAGGAAAAGGCATTGTTAGGTCATGCTTCTGCTGTTTTTATTCTACTCTGCACTTCATCATTATATAAAACAGTAAGAATGATTCAGAAGAGAGCAGGAGGGGTTGAACTTCCTTTGGGAGAAAGTGATTATGACCAAAAACACACTTAGAAAAAAAAAAAAAAGGTGTATTTCTGTAATGTAGCATTTCATCAACATCAGGAAGAAACACCAAGAAAAATAAAATAGAGGAGAAGCAGAAAGAAAAAGAGAAGCCTGATTACCTGCATGTATTGAAGGAGGTACAGAATTTCATTAGCTTTCTGGATAAGGTGAAAGTTGAGTGATACTTTGCTTTAATTCAGTATGTGAGAGTTTTAGAAACTATGGCAAATAGCACCACGTAAGTAGTAGTTGGATGCACTTACCTAGTTGGAGGATAAGAGTTTCTGTCTCTCTTGAAGGGTTTTTCTTCTGTAAAACTCAAAGATATAGGAAAGAAATCAGTATCATTATATCAATTTTGCAGATGATGCAATGAAATGACTTAACTAAGATTCCCCAACAAGGCAGTGGTAAGATCTTGAAGCAGAATCTGGGTGTCTCAGTCCAGGGCTGGACTGATGAGAACTCTGTGGAACAATTACAGATTGATGTCAGTTTGCACAACAGCACACTGTTGGCAGATAGTTTTTCCATTATAACAGAAACTAAAGATTGAGGTGAACCTCAGCCTGACTTATGGTGGGGGCATATTTTCTGTTATAGCTCAGTTCAGGATCATTATTTTTTCTTCAGAGCATTCTCTTACTTCAGTGATAGTGAACAAATCTTATTTTAAGTTATAAATCTGTGTCAAAATGTTCTATGTTTCAGTGCTGGTCATACGAAATCAAACCATATGTCACAGATAAGTAAGGCAGGAGGAATGTACACACACTTCACTGTGATCAATTGCTTGTTTCATTCTCATTGCAATTGCAATGATTAATTAGCAGCCACTGTGTTCAAGATCCCCATCTTCAAAGCCCAGTGCAACTCTGCCTTATCTACAGCTTTTGGCTTGTTTTATCTCGCACCTCCCCATGCTCCTTTCCATCATAGTTTTCAGCCACTTGCTTTGCTTCTTTCCTTCCCTCCCTCTCTCATTTCATATTTTCTTCTGTGCCAGCCTCTATATTTGAAACAACTTCTCACTTTCAAGGGAACAAAATCCTCCAAAAAAATTTTCCTTTTGAAGTGTCTTACAGTTACACTAACACTATTTTAATTGTTTTAATCCATATCCCAATGTATTTTCAGTGCAGTTTTTTAGCTGTTCATTATGATCTTGTATTTGTTGTGAATACTGTGTTCATTCGCTGAGTTCACTGGAATTATTTACAGAACAAAGTGTTATTTTGCATGAGTTGAGTGAGAGGATCTAGTCCTAAATTAAGGATGAGTACCCACAAAATTCATTGTCAAATAAAGGAATTGAAGAGGCCTGACATGTTAGGTCAACCTCTGAATAAAAATGGCAAAAATATCCAAAGCAACTGAGTAACTTAAAGCCATTTATGACATTTTTAAATTTCACTCAGCTACTTAGGGACAGATGCAAAAAGGATATTTTCAGAGGCACAGACTCTCATTGAAAATTAACAGAATGAATTCTAAAATCTTTCCTGAAAATGGAATCTGACTTCCTTCATCATCAAGCACCTTTAAAATTTTTCCCAATCCAACACAGAAAGCCTGATATTTCCCTGTGTTTCTAAATCACTTTTGTCTTATTTTGGGGCCTATTAAACTAATAAACATTACTGTGTTTAAACTTCTGTTAGCTTAGATCTGAAATGTAATACACTCATCATTAACAATTCAGTAGAATTTTATGTAGTATATTTTATTTCATGCTGTGACTAAGAGCATTGAAATGTTTTTAATACTTTATCCAAGACAAATAATAATTTAAGAAAAAACCTCCACTCCCCTCTATTCCCTTTTACTTTGTTCATGAGATTTTTATTACTAAAAACTCCAACTTTACCACTACTGTTAAACTTAGACCATCCCACAGAAGGCCAGATGCATAAAATCATTCGTGTGGAAGTGAGGAATTAGCTCTTCCATTACAAAAAAGGAAATTATCTGAGTGTGAAAAGCCAAATCTTCATTACTGATCAACCCTTAAAGTGGAGGGAAAGCATGGTAATTTAAGATTTAAACTTTTTCTGCAAATATATACATATGAAAAATTGTCTCATGGTAATACAGGAAAACAGGAGCTGGGATTGTTTGGCAGAGTACAGTTATTACTGTACCATATCAGATCTGTAATAAATTGCTGCTTTTAGTAGGAACTGATTGCAGGACTTTCTTGACTTTAGAAATGTCTCGAGCTCATTGGAAAATATTTTGAGAAGAGATGGATCAATACAGTTTCAGCAAGGGCTTTTTAGTCTGTAGGTATTGTTCAGTTTGTAGCTGTTCACAGGATGGTTTTGGTTTTGGGTTCTTTTTACATTGTGTATGCAACCCAGTATATAACATTGACTGCTGCAAAGGCTGCTGGGAACACAGCTCTGGCATATATATCAATGGTATCGGCGTCAATGGGCTTAAAGAGGGACTTCAGGCCCCTCTTTTTATCCAGTTTCAGTACTTGCTGCTGTTTTGTCTCTCCAGTTTCTATTTCTATTGTGCCGTACGATCCAGGCAGGTTTCTGGAAATTCGGTGCTGCCTGTTGGAAATGGCCAGTTCCTGGTTCACACCAGCTATGGAAAGGGAAAACAGAACAATGGCATTCTTCACGTTTATCTGCAAAGGAAAGAGGAGAACCTGTAAGAGCAATTTATAGGGCAAAGACAGCATGCTTCATCCAAGCTAGCCATGATACTGACATGGTGAAATGCTTATGAGATCCACTGGTATTTATCACTGGCTTTGGCAGAAGGACTGCTGAAAGACTGTGCTACCACATCTAAATTCTGGTTAGAATTTTACATGCCCTGCATTACCAAGGCACCATTGATAACAGCGTGCTTAGGCCCTCCTGACTGAAAATAATTATCCCATTCTGTGGCCAAAGCCAACAGGCAGTTCTCAGGCTCTTGTCAAAGCTGAGAATGTGGAGGTGGGACAGAAAATTAGTATGGATCAGCTGTATCTGTTACAGCTTAATAAAATAAAGTAATAGTAATCATAAATAATACCCAAGGTGTCAGAGAGTACAAAAATATGTAGGCCTGGACTACAAATTGTGAATTGTCAAAAAAAAAAAGTTCCTTAATTTAACCAATTTACTCTGCTTCATCACTAACATACATGTATGTACATGAAGAAAGCAGCAAGCCATCTGGAGTTCCTGGTGAAATTTCATCTACAGACTCCTTTGTTCAGTTTAATAGTGCTTCATATCTACATAACTTATAACCATGCTAATTATATCTGTATTTACCTTATTCAGTTTAGGTGTAAAAAATGTAATCTCTGGGGAGCAACGTTCAAGAGTACAGGAGTAGGTTTTGGTTTACTGACAGCACTTTATTATGCTGTAGCAGAGCTAAGAGAGTCTTAGAAGAAGCAGCTACTAAAGAACATCTGAGAAAAGGCCTTTCTTCCCCATCTCATGTGATACTGTTGCAATGACTTTGCCCTGACCCTACAGGAGCAACTCAAGGCTACCATAACTTACACTGAGAACTGGGCAAATATTAAAGAGTCTAAATACATTCTCAAAGTGTAAGACTTACAAATCTGGCTCAAGCCATACTTTGCCTATCTCCTTACTCGTTCTCTCTTATTCTCCATTTCCTATCTTAAATACAGCAACAAACCATGTATGAATATGTTGTCTTCAGTACTATCCGTGCTGCAAGGGGAAATTAGCAGTTGCATTTGGTTGCTTGTCATATTAACGTGACAAAAGAATTAACCAAGAATTTTTATTCTTTTCCAAAAGGGGTAGAAGAATTTTCTTCCATAGTAGAAAAAGGTCATAAAACAGGGTGGTTGCTCTTGCAAAGTTATTCACAGTATTATGCTTACTGACCTCTCCACTCTGCCTTCTCGCCTTTATCTTGTTCTTTTGCTTTTTCATGTAGTCAGCATTGAAATGTGCAAATGCATATTCTACCAGTGCAGCGAAGACAAACACATAGCAAATCCAGAAGTAAACGTCAAGCGCCTTGATGGCAGATGCTCGTGGAAGCGAAGATCGTGCACTGACCATCAGTGTAGTCATAGTAAGAACGGTAGTTATACCTGCAGTGTGGTGTGAGAAATTTTACTTTAGGTTTTGTAGTGATAAGCGTATTTACTAATCTGAAGACAAGGAATATTTTCACAGTAGAAGCCCCTTAATAGTGTGGCTTCTCATTTTCAAAACAGGGGAGCTTGTAAAAAGCTGTGCATTTGTATGACTAAAGCAGCTTTGAACGTGTTATCCTTGGTTTTGTTCTAGATCAGGACAAACAAAACCAGAAGACTTAACCTTAAAAAACTTTTGCATCTGGACTTGCAACCCTCACTCAGGCAAACAGATCCACAAGCTCTAGGAACATTTTTTTGTCACTGTCCCAGTTCCTTCAAATCAATTATTTCATACATCTGCCTCACATTCACTATTGCTTTTAACCATCTTTAAATGGTTGTTTTCTCTTCTTTACTGAGGCAGCTGCTCTAATAGCATGACAGAAATTAAAACATGAGGGAAATCTTTTAAATGACCCTGTCTTCTGCAAATGTAATCATAGTAATTATAAATACACCTTCCTGGAAAATGAGGGTTATTAGAGAGCATAATTACAACTTCAGCATAACCTTCCCTGTTGGTTCCCCAAACTCTCTGTTTTACCTAATGACACTCTGGCAGGCACAGCTGACTGGCTGATCCAGAAGGATACCCACGACATGGCCACTAGTAAGATGGAAGGGACATAAGACTGAATTATGTAAACTCCTCGATTTCGCCGAAGGTGGAAGTGGAGACTCAGCCTGGGAAACTGACCTGCTTGAAAAAAGGGCAGAGGAAGAAAAGACTCTAACTGTGTGAATTACAGTTAAAATGATACTCAAAATAACATTTTGTATAATGACAGATCTACATTCTTAAACATCGTTTCAACAAGGACACAAAAAGCTTTTTTGAGTGTTGTTCAATTAGTCTTCATAGCCCTGCACGAGGTACTGCAGTTCTCATCAGCACTGTTAGCTAAGAATAGGTCAAATGATTGGTTTCAGGTCATATCAATGCCAGATCTGAAAATAAAATCATGAGTCTTCTCAAATAACAGTATTGCTTCAAAATGTGTACTGTCTTATCATCTGCTGTAGAAAGTCCTCCAGATACTAAATTTAGATTTTTTAAAAGGCCAAGTTAATTTCAAACTCAGAAAAAGAGCTTAGAGGAGATGTGCAGCATAAATGAGAATCTGAATACATGAAAGAGGATGAAAAATCAGCAGGAAAGAAATGACTCCAATCTTTTACAAACATTGCAGTAAACCCAGTGGTACACATACACACCACTGACTTCTACTGGATAGAATTAGAATGATCTGACTGTATGTCATAAGCCTCATAACATCAGGGCTAATGGAAATTTTTCTTTATCCCAAGCTGCAAATTAGGTCAAGAAAATGTGAGCTATACCTCAAGTGTTTTTTATGAAGTGCTGTCTGGCTACTCCATGCAGTATTTTGTCAAACATGCAGAGCTAAAGGACATAATATGCTACAGAGGCTACCTGAAGGCTCAGCAAAGGTTGGCATTTTTTGCAAATGTAAGCTAAAGAAAACTGTTATCAGAAACCTGACAGATTCTTAAATTGGTTACTTAAGAAGAATAATTTTCTTTTATAGATATAGGAGGTTTAGATACTGTCCCTGAATTGAAAACAGATACTGTTACCAGATTTGAAGTTCATAATTTCTGTTGTGAACTGGTAATTGGTAATTGTGAATTGAGCAAGCTGCAGCTTATCCAGCCCATGGATCTCCTCCTGGTTTTCTGACCAGTGGTAGACAATGTCCTCTGAAGAGTAGCCATCTGCCAAAAGAAAGCTGAATAAACACAAAGTTTGAGGAAGAAATTAAGAATTTAGAGGACTCATTGTGCAAGTCCTCTTAATTCCTCTGCTATGCTGATTTTCATCAGTCCCATTGCAAACACGCTGTGATTCAGTCTGGACAATTCACTGTCCTGGCAACATCACTGTTGCCAGCATCACATTGGGGTAGCAGGTAGCTTTCCTGTGGGGAGAATAATCCAAGTTGATTCACACTGACTGGCCATATGTAGTATGGAACAGTGCATTTCAGTGCCATAAGAAATATTCAAATTAGCTCTCAAAAACCTCATTTGCCTACTCACTTAAGGTAGAGTAATTGTTACTGTAGTACTTAAACTGCCCTACTCACCCCTGCACTGTGCTTAGATCTCAGAGTCACAGAAATTTCTGTTTGTAAAACAAAATAACTACTAAATCTAATCTCTCCATGCCTATCCTCCTGCAGACAGATCAGAGTGTAATTCTGTACTGCAAGTCTATCTCCAAGTTCACACATTGATTTTATGAGATATGTACTCTGTACGTTGTACTCTGACAATGCCTAAGCAAACCACCTGTGCAGTGTTTTCCTGTCGGTTCTCCTAACGGCTTTTGAACTTCCTCAGTATTTTCAAACCAAAATGACAAAAAGCTAAAGGTTTCCATGATGCTAGACTCTTAGGAGTCTTGTAAGAAATGGTGTGTAGAGAAAAGGAAATCAGATTTGTGCATCTAGTTAGAGAACAGCAGAATAACTCGGATCCATGTCTACTCAGAGATGCACCAGCTAGCTTGACAATCACCTCAGCCTGTTAACAACTGCAGTTCTGCAGGGGTGGCAGCTGGAAGATATCTGCTAGGGAGAGGTATCTGCAGGGCAGCAGGGACATGAGAGGAGCATTGGGATATGTATGAGGGGATTTATCCAATACACAAATCCATAGGAAATCAATCTTTGCTAGTTTTGCTGTTAATGGACAACTTGCTATGAAACCATTCATTTGTTTAAAGAGGTTTCATTTCTACATGTTTGTTTCACTGAAATCAAAACCCTCAAATTCAATTAAAAATTCAACCACCACCAAAACTGCCTGCAGAACTTGCTGGGAGAGAGAATCGATTGCTGGTTCACTGTCTGCTGCCTCTGCATTTGGTGATTACATAAGGAAAACTGTAGATTGCTATTTTTGACAGGATAAAATGGTATCCTGGTTAATTGCCTAGAAAACAAAGTCAGTGCTAAAAAAGAAAAAGAGAAACTTGAATCAATAGGCCAGTGAATCTGCTCAGAAACTGCTGTTCACAAATCTCTGGAACCCTCAGGACCTGTAGACTCCCTGATATAAAAACCACAAGAGGCTGGATTCATTGCCATTGATTGGGTGGCCCCTGCTTGTGTCAGTGGTGAATTTCATTCAAAAGTATTAATGCTCATGGGAATTACATGCTGATCATAGATAAAATACAGGTTGGACAAAACATAAATTCATTCTTCACCCTCCTTTGTGAGTACAAATGAATTTAAGCCAATCCATGCTGTATTCTGATTGATTTCTCTGTAACAGATACAGGAA